CAGCGGGAAAGCCTTTCTATGGGGGTTTTTTTTTTTGGGGGGGGGGGGATTTGGTCTTTATTTTAAAATGACTACCTGTAATGATATGAAGGGTCCTCCTGATGACTACTTTGTAATGTTACAGGCTGGAGATACCAGGTGACGGTCCGTGTAGCTGTGGAGACTGTAGATGTGGTGGGAACATTTGGAGTATCTCTATGTAGGAAGGAGATCTGTACCAGTCATCTTACTGTTTACAGGTATTTGGTGTACTGTGCATGTCCAAAGCTCCAGACTGTTCAATGAGTAATCTTTTGTTTTTTGTTTTTTCTCCTGCAGTGGAGTCATCCTGTCTTCAAGGTCATACACAACATTTGTTGATGCGGACGCTGATGTTGATCCGGTGCAGAGGGTAGTGTTCTCCTGGAAGAAAGTAGCCCCTCTATTCCTGGAGCCATCACTGGGTGCCTCAGATGTGACTTTGTATTACGGACCAAGTGGACAAATGTATGTATGCCAGCTCTGCACACCTCACATTCTGAGTCAACGGTAAATTGTCAGTTCCTAACCTCACAGCCTCAGTGTTGGCACATAGTGGCTTCTGTATCAATTTACTGAGGGTAACAGATGCACGGTAGAGTAGTCGGGGTAACATTCCCACCAGAGAACTCAAGCCATGCACCCGCTTGTCTTGTGCTGGAAACACAATGATGAAGACATCACTTTAGGCTCGTTTAGGGGGGTCTGCATACATAGAACATGGTCTCAGTCTGTAGGCTTTGTGCAATCGAGGTTCACTCTCCCCTTCAGCTTTTTAGATTATGCCTTACACTTCTACTTCAGCAATGGTGAAATCTAGAGCAAAGTCTAATAAGCTGTAGGTAAGGAGACTGAATCCCAATTGTGTCATTGACTAAAACTTCACCAACCAACTGCTGAGTGACTGTAAACTGTTCAAAGTATGAACTCCACATGGAAGTCACTTTATTGTTGATTTCTGCCCCCCCTGCATCAAGTTTTCTTAAACATGTAGCAAGACTACATGGGCCGTTATTGCTGAACTGCAAAGCCTAATTGTATGGATGGAGACTGGGGGCTCTGACTTGCAGACCAGGAAAAATGTCCTGGGGGGGGGGGGTCAAACATCACCAATGGTGGCTGCAAATGTGTTTGTTTTTTTTACACTGTTCACCAACAAAAGGACTGCAATGGAAGGCGTGTGGGAGACTGTAGTCTAAAGGTAGTAAATATGTCCTAAAATGTGCCACTATAAAAGGCTCCGTCTTGGTGTAACTCCTAGAACACTGAAGTGTGTAGATACATGACTGACAAATCTGTGTACTGACTTCTAATCTCCCCCCTTCTAGATTCCACTTCTGTAGCAAGGACCAGGTGAAGCAAGGCATAAATCAGACGCTGCAACTCTGCCCTTCACCTTCCACCTAGTACCTGATGGAATGAAAAATGTTAATAAAACGATTTCCTCTCCAGCCTCTGACTGCTGTAGATTAGTGTGTGTGTGTGTGGTTGGAACAAGTGATGGGAGGGTTGGGTTATGGATCTGCAGATTCGGTATAGCAATGGTGTAGGACTAGAAGGGATACTTGGGTTCTTACCATGGGGCATCTTCCCAGCTTTGTAGAATAGAGATTACTTTATTCAAGGGCTTGAGTTTCTTTTGAGAGCAACTTTGGCAAGCTTTGCAGCTCATTGTGTTCTAATGCCCCATGTACAGCTCCAGAGTCCCCACGTGCTGCCAGTCCTGGTTGCTGTAGGCTTCTGATCTGTGCATATTGCTGAGAACCTCATGTTCATTGATGGTGCAACACATTCTACATTGTTCTAGTGTGGACAGGACCTAACTTGTAGCTGTGCTTGGTTTTTCATTTGTAGGGGCACTATGGACATTTTTTTGGGAGAATGAGTTGTGGCTTTTAGGGCCACCCATTCATATGTAAATATCACAGTCGAGACTATTTTCAGTATTTTCAGTGAGGGGGGGCAGTAGCACCTATCCTAATTTTGGTTGCCCCCGTCTGCCTGAAATCTTGTGTCTGGGTTTCATGGCAGCAGAAACCCAGACACTGCATTCAAAACCCGGACTGTTCGGGTGAATCCTTGACCGGTGGCAACCCTAAAGGGTACTCCCATCCCACTTTCCACCCTGGCTGCATCTCCTTTTTCATCTGCTATATGGAAACCTTTTGAAAAACTGAAACCTTGACTTCCACTCAACACATTTTATACTAAGACTGATGGCTTGAGTAGTTGGAAGTTAGATCTTCATACCACATTCGATGCTGAGTAACGGCTAAAATGTCCTAGTCTTGGCATATTCACAGACCACCTACCACTACACAACATTTGA